TGTTCATATCTTACACTCTACCAAGTCGGGGAGAACCTATTGTAAACCCATTTTATATAATCATAAATTAATAATTATCTTTGAAGAACGAAAATTGAAATAATAAATAATAACAACATTTAAGACTTTATTCGAATCAAGTTTTCAAAATATTTTACTCTAATTTTAATACATGTTATCATCAACGAATTAATTTACCAAACTGAAAAAGAAGCTAGTAGACTAAATGTTCTCGAACAATTAGAGGTCTTTCCACCTTCTTTAAATTTCAAATATTTTTTATATTTTACTCTCTAAATTTAATTTTTATACAAAAAGAATCCATAAATGGCTTGAAAGATAGAAAAAATGAAAATTTGAAAAAATTAGAAATGACCTTGACCTTTGACCTTGAACAAATATTCAAGGTCAAAGGTCAAGGGTCACATTGCACTTGACCCCATGCTTCTACGACCTTTCGTTTTAAAGTTATAAGGTTTAATAGTAAGCGCAAAGACGTTTAAAGGTGATAACTCATATAAGGGGTCATCGGATACTTTCGCACTGAATAGATTGAAGTTGTGTCTAAAGACCCTGAAGACATTAGTGAAGGTTTTGTGCCTCTACGGTTTACGGTTTTGGAGGAGTAGCGATAACAAGGTTTTCAGTTAAAGGGGCAATAACTTTTAAAGGAGTAAATTTTAGGGGACAAGTATGAAATCTTTGAAATAGTTTTAAGAGGACATATTAATGATGCAAAGGTATTTAGTATATGTTGAAAGACAAAAGAGATATAAAAAGAGCTTAATTTCTCACATTTTGAATAATATAATTATTAAATCTCTAAAATATCGTTTACTATAGACTTTAAACATATGAGATATTATAAAAAAAAAAAAAAAAAGGTCGTCCACACTTTATCCACATTGGATAAACGACGCTCTCGAGACAGAGGACTCGAGTTTTGATGATCACCATGCTAATTCTGGGAAGGGATGTCTTTATCCACCCATCTTATTGCCGAGATTTGGCCATTTCTGACAGATGGACTGTTTTTGTTATAAAAAATAACTTGCATGGTAAGAAATATAAGACTCGGAAAAATCTTTTAGCTTCTAAGAACAGAACGCCATGGGGCATGTCACGTGATCGCCTGGATCACGTGAATCTCGCATGGACAGAACGGTGGCAGATGTGCATTATAATCGGAGAGGACTACTTTAAAAAATAATGAGGACTCAAAACTCATTTTATTTCTTCCAAGGAAGTAATTTAATTAGTTCGCGAACTTTTTGATCACCCCTCGTACACAGCAACAAATAAAATTTAACAATAAACATGAAATAATGAGTTAGATAGTTGAGGATTCTATAACAAGCTAGAGTATTGACTAGTGAGATACCTACTACTTCTTAAAACCCTATATCAGGCCATCTTAGAAAAAGTTGTTTTTTTTTTTTGCCCTCTACCGACCGACTGGCTCAAAATGACTAAAAAAAAAAAACAACTTTTTTTTAACATCCATGCACGAAACGATTATTTTTTTTATACATTCTGGAATTTTATCAGTGTGAAGTTCTTTAAAGTTTTTAATAGATTTTGAAATTTCCGCACCGATGTTGAAAATGGGGGAAAATATTCCCATCTACCTACCACCCAATTTTCTTTTTACCCCGAGTCGGTAGAGAGCAAACAAACATTATTTTAAAGATAGCCTCATATTATTATTATTATTATTATTATTATTATTATTATTATTTTTCATTTTTATTAAAGAAAAGAAGTATTCATAACAATAGAGTCGCCCGCGTGGCGCAGTGGTTAGAGCGTCTGCTCTAGAGTCGCGAAATAAGGAGTTGATCCTTACGTCGCGGGTTCGAATCCCGCTGTGGGACGTGGAGACCGGTCCTTCGGATGAGACCGTATAAACCGAGGTCCCGTGTCGCAATAGATGCTGGCACGAAAAGATCCCTCACTGCTCAATGGCCGTAAGTGCCGAGTATAGGACAAAAATTTGCAGCTCTCCACCGGCAAGTGGTGGTGTCTCAATATGAGTGAAAAATTCTCGAGAGGGACGTTAAACAACATACAAACAAACAAACATTACAATAGATATCCATAAAAGTTTCATATTTACGATATGGAATATGAAGAAAACAAATAATAATCCAGCTCTAAAGTCCATTGGAACAATACATATTAAGCAGAAAAAACACGGACCTCTAAAAACATCAGAGGTGGGATCAGATACCATGGAGCATCAGCTATCGACCGGTCAAACTCGCCGTATGCTCCTTGGCATTATCGGGTATACTGAAAAAAATCTTGGACAATATTGGCCTAACAATTTTTATGAAAAACCTCGGTCAACATTCGACTTAACGATAAATTGTATTTGCTAAGAAGGACATTGTATCGACCATAGAATTTGCGGAATGTTAACTTTTAACGAGATTGATGATATCCTTATTTGTCAAAAGCTTGCCTCATTTAAGAAATTTTTCGTACGTAGAGCAGGCTCTTGCGTATGATATCAACTTGGAGACATAAACTTTATGTTCAGGTGACAGTGATTTACTGCTACATATATAAGTGAAGTTTACCAGAGAAAAAATTGAAGTCACTACGCTTATCACAAATCTAAATAATCAGTTATTTTAAATATTAAGTTCTACGGTAAAGTTTTATATAAATGTGATATACCATACATGTAGATTGTTGGAATTTTTAATCAAATTAATTAAACAATTAATTGTAAAAAACAATTATTTTATCCTAGACACAAAATTCAGTTATATTCTTAGAAACTTAAGCAGTTCTTGAGAAGAAATCCAAATGTTAAAAGTGAACAGATAGAAAGACTGACAGACGGACGACGTATCGGAAAAGCTCCCTGTGTATTCAGCTCAGACGAGCTTAAAATTATAGAAAAGACAAGGTAATCTAGGAGATCCCTTTCTGGCCTCTGGTTTGTTTGTCTCTAAGAACGATACTATAGTTAAAACTGTGGTCATCCCTGATACAAAATGAGTATTGGTTTTAAGACAGGGATACTCAAAGGTCTCAAGAAGGTCGCACAAAATATGTCACTTTCCGAATTTATTATTTTAATCAATTTCCTCAATTTTAAAGGATATTTTGTTTCAGAAAATGACTCTACCATCGGCTCATACATTCACCTCTGTCGTTGGCTCGCGTATATCACAGTGTTAAGCACAAGAAATAGTGCCTTTGTTTTAATTCATTATAATTAAATTCCTGTACTAATGTTTGTCTTTTAAGGTATATATTTCCTAAGTAGATCTAGAACTATCTAGAACTATTTGTTTAATTTGAAATAATCCTTGGAATATCTTGTTTTATACCTTATGTCAAAAATCTTGACGCGAGCCCATTGCAGAGGTGTCTGAGAGAGGAACGAACGACAACTCTGCATAGGAGATTGTCAGAAAACACACAGCACAAGCTTTCCTTTCTTCCAAATTTATATATTTTATACAGAAGTACTAGGATCATCTTGTGCATAAAAATTCCCAGATAAGCAAGGGTGTGCTCTACGTTTCCTGAAGTGTAAAATGTATCAAATTTGATGAAATTCATTCAAAATCGAGGAAATTCGAAGAATTTCTTACTTTGGCACCCTCCTGTGGCCTTCATGTATTATTTAAGTCTGTGCTGATTTTAAAACAAGCATCATTTAAAGTTCTTAACTGCAAACTATCACAATTTTAACTGTGTTTCGATTTTTTTTTTTATTAAATAAGAAAGGCCCAATTTGGCTGTTACCATACCTTGTCCTTTCCAAAATTAAAAAAATAATTTCAAAATGAAATCTGAAGAACTTCATAGTATTTTCAAAGTGATAGTTATTGCCTATTGAAATGAAGTCTATATAAACTAAACAAACCTTGTGAACATAATGCATCTCCTTTGCGAAATATATTAAATCAACCTTAAATCAAATATCCAGTTAATGAAATTCAGATGTTAAGGCTTTCTTTTCGTAATCTTTTCACAATGTATATAAAATAATATTTTTAAACACAGCTATGTTGATTATTAATTCCCAAGTTCCAACTCCGTTTTCTTTCCATTTTTAGAAAATTTTTTAAACTAACCATTGTAGTGTAAATGTGTGAGAAAGATAACAAATACCGGACAAAAATACTAAATTAGCAATGATCCAAACAAAATTTTTAATTTTACATGGGAAAACCGGTGGATTTTTTTCTTCTTTTTTTTCTTTTGGTTTTCTTGATGTGTATATATGTGAGTGATAGAATTGAATTTCAAATATGAATATCTTTGTTGTATATAGTTAAGCTTTTAATGAATATGTAATTTTCAGCCCAAACAAAACTTTACGAATCTAAAATTAAATTACATTACAGAAAATATTCATTTGGAGCAAAGGCAATTACTGGTATGATAGGTCAAGGTCAAAAGGTCAAATATGATGATACCCAAAGAAAGGTTTTGGCATGAGTTGGATTTGATAAACGGTGAGCATTTTCAACATTTTCTCAATCAGAAGCCGCAAAGAAATATATTTTATAGAATACATTCCTTCATATTTGTAGCAAGAATTACCATATACTTTTAAATGGAATTAAATTTTCGGAAAGATTTAGGGAAGAAAAAAGGTTTTCCCCTATTTTTCTGTAACATTGTTGAAAAAAAAAATAAAGTTTGATTTTTCTTTGAATGTATATAAAATAGGTGTCGGTCGCAAACAGTTAAATTTCTTCTAGAACTGTCACTAGCCTTCAAAGAATATCCGCTTTCTTTTGTTTATAATGTAAAAACATTCGTATCTGCATTGACATGTTGATGCATTATTTCTAGTTATTGATCTGTTCATTTAATCATTCTTTTCATTGATGTTACAAATGATGAATGAACCTGCTTAGTAATTAAACTCACGTTTCAATTCCGTTTTTAAAATTTAAATTGAAAGAAATGATTGGTCGACATATAAAATCTAGGATGGAATAAAAGGCCTCAACAACACTGCATGATTGGTCTGCAGCGGTCTTCAACAAAATGGGGAAAGTGTTGGCTGTTATATTGCTTCTTTTTTCTCTGCTTAGCATAATTTATGGTAAGTTTTTACGATGATTCTAATTAATTCATTATAATAAATAGTTCATTTTATATATCTTGATAGACTGCAGCAAACAAAGTTCCATTATTTCTTGTATTTCTAGTCAGGACAATATTTCAATACATTTTTATTCCTCGTTTAATGATAAGTAGCAAAGATTTCATGGAAAACAAATTTAAAAAATAGGAAAGTATCTCTGATGAATGAGGAATAAAAATTGTAAAACTAATGGATAAAAATAATTTCTAGCACGATATGGTCAGCAGTGCTACGGATTTTGTGACCAGTATACGAATTGTGGTATTAACGCAGACTGCGACTACAGATATATCTGGAGCGGATTATGCTGTATATGTAAGTATGCAATGTTTAAAAAATCAATCTTATTACTCTACATCATGTAGATTTAATGTATGACTTTAATTTTTTTTATGATTTGAAAGTTTGATTTCATTTTATATGTGTGTTGTTTTTTTTTTTGATCGAAAATTATTTATAATAAGATTTTTTTTTAATATTAAAAAAAATTGTGTTCGAAATAGTTGTTTATTGAATGCAATTCGTTACATTTCAGATCAGGGAGGTTGACACTACTGAGAAGATGTACATGTAATTAAAAAATGAGAAAATAAAAAAGACACTTAAAGAGCTTCTTCATTAATGGTTTATTGATAAGTCCCTTATGCCCTTGAAGAAATAAAATCTTGAGCAGACAAAATAAATTCTGAAAATAAATTAATAACTTTGTTTTTTCAATCTAATGCATACTGCTGCTTTGGTTCTTTCGGTAAAGCAGATTCATTAAAAGTGACCGGTTGTGTGATTGAATCTTAACATGTGACAGGAATGAAATTAACAACACAGGGCCCTGTTTTACAAAAGAACGTACGACAAAGTCTAAAAAAAAATTCTCTTAATATTTTTTGGTAATTATTTTGATTTAAATTTATTTTACGGAATTAATCTTATTCACATTAACATCACAAGAATATCAACCTAGAAATAATTGAAAACGTTCTTTTGTAAAACACCGCCCAGTATCTTAGATAAGTCATGATTATTTTTTTAATTCAGAAAATAATGTCTAGGGAATCGTTCTAATTGCTTTTATTAACCAATTATTATGTCTTGTTGTGATACGATCTAATTGATCAACTTGCCAGTCATTTCAGTATGAAGACTTAGGACTTCAAAGAACTTTGAATGGTATTTAGATGCATTGAATACAAAAAATGATGTACGATTTTTTTTTTTTCAAACTCTATGTGAGACTTCTTTAATTATTTGGGTTAGGTTATTCCTAGTTGGAGAGGACATCCGTAAACTTCGGATAATTAAGGAAGTTAGAGAGAATATGCTCATATGGCTATACATTTTGGATAAGTTTAGTTGAGTAATGTTCTTCCTACAGTGGAAGTAAATAAATTCTATGATTCTGGGGTTGTATACTGATAGAGCAGTCCTATTGGTCTTCGATTGATGTGGTTCCTATTTTTAGATAATCGGATGTACTTTCATCGGCCAGTATAATGAGAGGATAAAGTTGTCTTTAGATTTTTGTATATTTCTAGAGTTGACTCCAATTGTGATGTCAATTAAAAAGATTCAGTTTCATACTGCATGACAATATTGCTTTAATTAGCCTTAATAAGACCCAGTCTTCAATGTCCAAAACAATCACTTCTCTACTCAGAGAAGAATTTAATAGTAAATTCAAAGCTAAAAGTATTCTTGGCAATGAGTATTCTTCAGCAGTTCCAACTGATTAACAATGGTAAAGGTTCCTCATTTTGGTTTTTTGTTTGTTTGTATGTTTAACGTCCCTCTCGAGAATTTTTCACTCATATGGAGACGCCACCACTTGCCGGTGTAGAGCTGTAAATTTTGACCTATGCTCGGCACTTAGGGCCATTGAGCAGTGAGGGATCTTTTTTGTACCAGCACCTTCTGCGACACGGGACCTCGGTTTTTAAGGTCTCATCCGAAGGACCGGTCTCCACGTCCCACAGTGGGATTCGAACCCGCTACGTAAGGATCAACTCCTTACTCCGTAACTCTAGAGCAGACGCTCTACCACTGCGCCACGCGGGCGACTTCTCATTTTGGTACCTTTAACAGCAAAGTATCCAGAGTGAAATATGAAGATAACGAACAGTAATCAAACTCAGAAGTCCATCAAAACAATACAAATTTGGACCAGAGCACACGTGGACCTCTGAAAAAATCAGAGTTGGGATCAGGTCCCTTGGAGTTGTAAGCATCCTCTGTCGACAGGTCAAACCCACCGTGTAATCTTTGTCGTTATAAGGTATACAGAAAAATCCAAAGATAATGCAGTGTGAAAATTTGTATGTAAAATGTCGGTCAATGTTCAACTTAATGATAGATTGTATTTGTTCACAAGTTCATTGTATCGACCATAGAATTTTCGAAATGTTGACTTTAAACATGAATTTTGATATCTTTGTTTCATCAGCTTCTTTGTCAATACCTTGCCTCCTTTCAGAAGGTGCTCGTACGTAGAGCATGCTCTTGAGTATCGGATCAATACATGAATAAGGGAAGTTGACCATAGAAAAGTTCAAGTAATCACGTTTATCATAAACACAGGTACGTTAAGGCTTCCCAGAGAATATCGCAGTGTACTCTGTACATGTGCCTTCACTTCTCTGAACTACAAATGTATGACGTCATAATTGAAAATGACGTCAAGTCCTTGTAAATTTGAGCTGTTATGAGGGGGAGAGTGTCATAAACTTTACAACTTATTTCAATCTGCATATAAACTGTCAGAAAGCTAGCGTAAAATAAACTTGTTTTAATCTTTTTATTTTAATCTTATATATCCGAATATTTAAGATAACATTGCTTTATTACTCTTGTTTGAAAGTCAGCTTGTTCAAAATATAACCGAAAATATACGTTTGACATTTACCCTTTTTTATACCGGTGGATAGAAGTAGAATTTATAAAATGGGTATAAAAGAGCCTGGCGCAGGTGATTAATGAGGATATGTTTGAGATTTTTTGTGGAAATCTGTAAGATGAGTTTCCCCTCTAACTGAATCTTGCTTGGGAAAAATGTGCGATGGCTTTGTTTTAATACAGATGACGATATTGAGTGGAAAATACTCAAATTTGTCGGTAAGTTGAATTTATTGTGAAATATTTTGTATCAAAGTAATAGTATAACTTTTACCAAGCACACTTCGGGTTCACAAGGATCCGACGGGTATATTTATGGGACGATAAGTTAATAATAATTGTGTTAATCAGCTGCGCCGAAGCGATTAATGTGAAACACTTAAAAAAAATTAAATGACCGTCACGTGATCAACGAAGTCTTGTGATATCATAACAAATATGATTTTATATAGCTAAGACGACTCTTTATATAAATTGGCCGAACTTAAGTACATAACTGGCAAATCAAAATCGACCTTGCATTGCAGTGTTATGTTTTGAATGCATTTTAAGCTTCGGGAAGCCTTAACATTGCTTCGAAATTCCGTTGTTTGGTAATGGATACATGTATATGTATGAAAAAAAAAATATCAGACAGTTTGAGGCCCGTTTGGGCCGAAAACTGTCTGATATTTTTTCATACAGAATTGTATTCGGCATATATCGTACTTTAAAACATTGCTCTTTAAATGACACTTTGCGTGATTCTGTTTCTCTTCTTCTTCTTTTTTTTTATTGTCGAACCACAGAACCAACATCTATTTATGTGTTCTCATTAACTTTCACATCTATACGTGTATTATTTTTGTGAGTCATATATGTTAAACTGCAACATAAATTGTATAATCAGCTCACTTATAACTAATTTTTTACTATTTATTACTTTTTTTAAATTTCTTTTGAATAACACATGTATATATGTATTTTTCAATGATATGTAATTAATATTTACTTGTACGTGTATTTCTTTATGTAGAGGACTTATATAGGCAGTGTCTGCTGTACAATCCTATTATGATTATGCATAATAAAATATTGTTTAAATTAAAATTAAATGACACTTTGATTTACCCGAAACAGTCCGATATTTTAACAAAAGACGAAAGTGTTAATGCCTAATGAAGCAATTCTTTCAAGAATGCATGCTTGAATGGAAAGTACTCAGTATTTCTTTTTTTTTTTTTTTTGACTCAGCTACATAATTATGGGTATCAGGGTGTTTGAAGTAATATAATTGTTTGGAATGGAGAGTAGGACTGAAATATCCTCAAGTGTTTGCACAGAGCTAGGAGCAGTGCATTGGATTATAATACAGACCGTGTAGTGAATAAAAAGGAAAATACAGAACTTGAACTAAAAAAAAAATACAGAGCAAATGAAGCTGATGATGAAGGTCAGTTAATTTTTAATTATGGGCATTTAGAATAACCTAACAGGCCTTTAGATAGGGGGGGGGGGGGTAAAAAAAATAATCTTACAGCAACAATAAACAAGAGGCCTAAGGGCCTTAACGGTCACCTGAGTATAATTCAACAATTTAGAGGATCCATAGAGTATAAAATGAACTGAAAGGTGAAGCTTTGTTGCCCAAAAGCAAGAAAAATAGGGTGATCAGGATCAACAAAATAATTAGTCTAGTGTTCATTAACAGTTCATAAATTAGGTTCTAATCTGTTCCCCATTTATCACTGTCACCATACAGTATATTAATAAATTATCAGTGATTCTGTACTATTTTATTTCCTTGATGAAATCTCTTACATTGGACTCTCTTGGTCTTGATGAACATTGAATAAGACAAGTTATTTTTGTCTCATTTTCATTTATCTATTACTTACAAGTCTACCTGATCATTTAAACTATAAAAGTACTTTTTGTATCATACAATAAAAAACTTACATAGTTCTCCTATTCTATTAACCTTTCAAGTACGTTATTTACAGTGATTAATTATCGAAAGTAAATGGCAAAAGGGAATAAATCCTCTCAGTTGAATACAAATTAATAAAGCCCTGGTCAGGACCAGAACACTTGACCAAATGGTCCAGATGTTCAAAAATCTTTTCCTCTTTTTGCCTCGTGATATGCCCAGGTGCAGAGAAGATTTTCAAAGAAATAATGCATTTTTATTAAGATTCACTATATTATCAATAGAGCCCCGCCCACCCCGGCACCAGAACCTCTGACCCTGGGGCCATGAATTTCACAATTTTGGTAGAGTCACCCTTGCTTATCATAACTATGCATTCATTTTGTTTCAATAATACCCAGGAGTAGAGAAGAAGATTTTCAAAGAAATAATGCACTTTCACAATATGATCTATATATCCCCGCCCTAACACAAGAACCCCTGACCCAGGGGCCATGAAATTCACAATTTTGGAAAAGGCATCAATTCTTATCATAACCATGCACTTAGTTTGTTTATATAATACCCAGGAGCAGAGAAGAATATTTTCAAAGAATTAATGCATTTTCACTATATAATTAATAGAGCCCCGCCCTAACACCAGAAACCCTGACTCAGGGGCCATGAATTTCACAATTTTGGAAAAGGCATCATTGCTTGTCATAACCATGCACTTAGTTTGTTTAAATAATAGCCAGGAGAAGAGAAGAAGATTTTCAAAGAAATAATGCACTTTCATTCTATGATCTATATAGCCCCGCCCTAGCACCAGAACC